ATCTAATATTCCCGTGTTTTCGTCTCAGTCGGGATCCGTTTGAAGCTGAATGCATCATCTGAGAAGCTGATCACGTACGTGTCGGTGTCAAATAATGTACACATAATGAATGGCGACTGTAGAAAGCAAAAGGTGAATCCCGGCCATTTTGGGTGATCCTGAAATGTGGGACTGATTGTGCAAATCAGCAATGTAACGTTAGCATAGCCTAGCGTAGCAAAGTAGCGATTTTTAAAAACTTTAAAAACGTTTCAATAAACAACATAGTTGCAAATATATATGTACATAATTGTGTAGAGCACAAAACAAGACGGTCAATTATTTTTTATCAATCATTTAAGCGAAAAAACTTGTGCATTTCTTACCCCTTGGTTTCAAGTAAGCTCACGAAAATTCTTGGTCTTAAGGGGTATATACCCCTTCACCTTACCCCTACCTCTAGATCAAAATGAGAATTGGGATAGCCATTCCTCTCACGTGAACGCGCAAAACTAAGGGGAAGGGGTAAGACAGAGAATTGGGATTCAGCCTAAGTCTCAAGCTCGAGCCCTCCATCAAGGACAGCAAGCAAAATATGTTTTATATCCTTTAAAATTCAAAGATTATACGAATATGTGAACTTGTGAATTTCAAGTATTTTTTAAATAAGATAAGAGCATGAGAAACATCAGTTCACTTGTGTCTAATGTTTGAGTCATAGTGCACAGTGATGGTACATCTTAGTGAAGGTGAGGGATATGCAGTGAAAAGTATCTTTCCCCTTCATCTCCACTGAGTAATCGCATTCAGCTTCAGTAATCAGCCTGATTCTTTATTATTTGCAAGGCGGTGTGCTGACCCAGAATACACCATGGCAGCTGTTTGATGGTGTTGACTCTGCGCAGGTAAAGTCAGTGCATCTGGTGGTACAGTTAAGCAGCTTGCAGTGTGGGAGCCTCTGTCCTCCCATGATCCTCGGCTAACAGTACACCCAGCTTATACTGCCAATGACCCATTATACAGCAGTTTGGTGGACTTTCATACGCTCTTTCTTTTTGTTTTCCCCTCCCTCCATCCATCTATGGCCTGTGCTCTCTCAGGTCCAGTGCCTGTTTTGTATATTTCAGTAGAAGCCAACAGAGGAAACAATTGTTCTCTGAAGTATATTGGAGAATATGTGGAATTAATGCCTCAATATTTAATTCCACCCAAAAGTCTGTCACTATTCTGGGAATATTCAAATAAAATGACCCATCATTGATCAGCTCTACCAAACTTGATTGTCTTTTTTTTCAATGAATAAACAAACACTGTTAAGTTGTCTAGATTGATATTGTGAAGCAGCTTTGATACAATCTGGATTGTGAAAAGCGCTATATAAATATATTTGACTTGACTTGACTTGACTCACCCTGAAGTCATTGGATGATTTGTGAATGATTAAGGAGTTAAATGTCAGTGTTCCTCATGCAAAGCTGTTGCATGACATCAGATGAATTGAAATAGAGCACACAAGTTGTATGGTACTTTTTTGGTCATTTTGTAGTGAATGTAATGGAAAGGTGCCCAGGTCACATTTTGGATCAGAAACATAAAAATAAAGACCATAATCAACAATCACCCCTTTAAATGTAAGGAAAAGAGCAGTTTGATCATTCAACTAAAGTTCTCTGTATCTGTTCAACAAAAGACAATCATTTCGGTGATTAAAAATGATGACTGAATTAGAAAATAAATGTAATTACTTAATTAGTCATTTTCTTCATGAAAAAAAAACCATAATCAACACAAAGACCTTTTCATGTCTAATAAGGATAATAACATTCTGTTAGTGTACAGACTTACTCAAGTGACCTACTTTGGCTGCCTCTTTTGTGTAGGCCTTTCTTCCTGATATTCACACGCACAGCCGTTGGTTTCCTCTCGGTTTATGTAACCCACATTGTTTTGATATGATCTAGTGGTTGATTTACAATCAAAGATAGTTTGACTCGTCTGTTTTTCAGACTGCTTTAAAATATATAATATATATATATATATATTATATAATATATATAAAAAATATTATATATATTATATATATTATTGGGATAAAAGGGGGTAAAGGGGACATGGTGATGAAAAAAAAATGAGATGGGAGTAAAAATTATATATTTTAATGCTTTTGTATTCTCAAAACTTTTGTGTTTCCCTGAGAACTCAAAGTTTCTCAGGGGAACAAAATAGTTTTGCGAGAAAATGCAAATGTTTAGCAAGCAAACCCAACGTTTCCCACTTTTCAACACTTTTGAGAGAGCTGCAAATGCAAAAGGACAGTTACAGCACACCCTTCATTCTCTGCAAGCAGCTCCTTACAGTTCCTGACAGAAATGTCAACGAAGCTCATGATGTGTAAATGTAGAGAGTTCATCAAGGTCAGTCTCCAGTGCTACTTATACTGTAGTTGGCACCCATATACTGTATATTTGTCACATTATCAGTGTACTTGTCTGTAAGTTCAACATAGCAAATTACTGGCGTGAATAGAAGCAGGTGTCAGTCTGACTGACCTATAACTCTAAAGAGAACAGCTAATGATTGTCCAAGTACATAATCGAATATGGGCCTCTGGTGGCGTGTGGAGATAAGGGTGTTACATAGCAGGTTTAATTGGTGTCATGGCACCATGGATCTGTCAGGTCACCTGGATCAAGTGTCAGTGGGAAATAAATAGGTCAAAGATAATGATGAAGTCAAAGACAATAAGAGTCTTAGAAGAGTCACGGCCTACGTTTACAGGCAACCAAATAATCCGTTTATAATCGGGTTGACGGCTTAATTGGACTGAAACACCTCAATCCGAATTAAAATTCGATCGGATTGGAAGGGGTGGTTTAGGCCCCGTCCACACTACTGCGTTTTCGTTTAAAAACGTAGAATTAAAACGAATACGATCTCCGTCCACACCAGCGTTTTATCCGCGTATTACAAATGATCCCTGTCCACATTAAAACGACTGAAAACGCGAATCACGTGACCATTCACCAACACTGGGCATGCGCGTGCCGGTGTAAACAGTGGTTGGTGAATCAGGGAAGGATACGTCATGACTGAAAACACCCAATCATAGAGCCAAGTGTCAGCCCCTGCGTCAGCGTTTCTGAAGTCCTTCGTTTTGTCTCGTCCACACTAAAACGCCCTCCGGAGTTTCAAAACGAAAAACGGAGCTGCAGCGTTTCTAAACTTCTCCATTTTAGGTCTTCGTTTTTCCCGTTTTAGTCTGGACGGAAGGTGCAAACGTAGCAAAAAAACGCAGTAGTGTGGACAGGGCCTTATTCCTTTTCTAATCCGATTGGTTTAGCACATCTGAAAGTTTGTATGTGATGTAATGATGTAGAAATTGCGCGACGACGTATGACGCAGTTGTAGTTGTTGAATCGGCTTTTCTCCTAGCTCTCATTATCTGTGAAGTGGAGCAAGACATCGTCCCACCGGTCCTTCTTTCATACTCTCATCCACCGGTGGCTGGTTTTGGGCATTTTTACAGCTTGATAAATATAAGCACAATGGTTCATATGCTCGTAATAGATAAATAATAAGTCTGCTGTTTAAAACAAAGAAAGCAGCAGAATACTGTAGACAGCAGGAAACTCAATATTCGTCAGCGTGCGGTGGGTATCAAAAAATCAATTCAGATTTGAAGCTTGTGACGTATAAATGCGCACATCAACCTGATCACTTGAATTAGCATTCATGTAAACACTACCTTCAGATTCATCCATCGCAATAAATGAATTCTGACTGAAACTAAAAGTTGTCCATGTAAACATAGCCAATGAGACGTAATAAAATGTCTCTTGTTTAGAGATGTTCCCTTAAAACAGTTTACATTGTAATGAAAAGCTAAGCAATCTCAGATGAGTTTATAAATGTAGAGCCAGACCGATATTATTGACCGATATTAGGCATTTTCCATAATATCGGTATCGGCAGTTATAATGGCCGATAAATTAATATTTAAAAAATAAAATCAAAACGGACAAAACACACTTCAATCATCTCTCCTTGGCCTGTTCTATTGAAAATGTATGTTTTACAATTTTCAGTATGATGTTATCTATTGCTAAATTATGGCTCATCATAGACTAGCTAACCACAAAGCTAGCTAATGCCACTATCATCAGTGGAAGACCGTTAACGTTAACATTAATGAGCTTGGAAACAACAATGAACTTTTTCTGCCTAAATAAAGTAATGATTACTGTATTTATAACTAGCATATCTCTAGTTACAGTCCCTGCATTGTAAAATGTAAGTTATACTTGCGAGGAGTGAACATTTAGACATAGAGAAAAAGTATCAAACGTATCTTGTGCAGAAAAGTTAGCTTTTCTTTTACACGTGTGTGAAATCCAACAATATTTAAAAAAAAAATATCGGCCGATATATCGGAATTTAAAACACAAAAATATTTGTGTCGGGCTCTAAAATGTAGTACTTTACTGTAGTAGTTACTGTATGTCAACAAATTGCTGTATTGCTTATTAGGTTTACCTGAGTAAGCATTGTTTCTCGCATTGCTATTAACATGGACTCTTTCTGAAGTTATTAGATGTGTTATTAGATCAAAGGTTCATTTTGCGCCGGAGTTCTCTTTAAATGGGTACATTTTCTTTTCAGATATAGCCTACTCCAGTTCTTGTTAAAACAAACGACATGCAAAATCTGTGCATTTTGGGCACTTTAAAAAAAAAATATATATTTTTTTTACATTTTTTATCAAAAGTGTGCTTTCCCAAGTCTTCCAGAAGTTCAAGTGTCTGCATCAAATATGATACAGTAAAGTAGACTTTTACTTGGATTATTTCCAGGTTTAAAAAGAATACAATAACGTATTTTCACTGTTTTCCTCTGACTTTTGGACACTCAGAAGCTGCTGTCTGCTCAGTTACATCATCCATACCCCTCTCTTGTGTCCACGTTATGAAATGTTTGGGTGGAGATTAGCTATCACTCTTTACTACAACTCTGTTCTCTTGCAGAGGAGGATCGCATCCGACAGCCTTGGGAAATGGTGAAGGAAGAGCAGCCCTCGTCTATCTCTGTGGTGAGTTTAAGGAACATTACTTTCGTATTTCTAATTTCTGCTCCTTTAAATAATGAAAATCAGATTTAAGGGATTATTTGTATTAGGTCTTTAATTATCATATAAAAAACGCCTGATTTCACAGACAGGGTTTAGATTAAACCAGGATTAGGCCTTAAACAAAAACAAGTTGCTTTCACATGCATTTTAGTTCAGGACTAGGTTAAGCCTCGTCTGTGAAACCAAGGGTATTGTTTGTGAAATTGCAAATGTCTTTCAATATGGTTTTCACAATTACAGAACACAAGAAACAAAGGGGTTACATTTATGTTTGTGTTTTGCAGATAATCTAATGGCAGACCAAAGAATGGACATCTCCTCCACAATGAATGAGTTCATGTCTCCCAGTTCCACTGACCTGATCAGCGGCTCCATGGGAACGCCAGGCATGGACTATAGCCGCAAGAGGAAGGGCAGCATCACCGACTATCAGTAAGAGTGGTTCCTAACAGATCCTCTAACTCTGTTTTATGATGAGATATACAGTAAGACCCAATGTTTAGTTCGTTCAGGGCATTCAACTTTAAAATATGGTAAAAAACAGCTAACATTTTGCGCCAGAAATCTTGTTTTGGCATTAAAAACTGCCCTCAGGATTTACTAAATACATGGACAAATACATGGCGTGGACAAAGAAAGTTGTACAGATTTGAAACATGAGGGAGTAAATGATGACAATGTTCATTTTTGGGTGGACTATTCTTTTAATATGATTGTCTTTTTTTTTTTTTTCACAGAATCGATGGTTTTTCTTTCGAGTGAGTATCAAAACATCCAAATGATTTTCATTTTACAATAGTATAAAATGTGAATAAGAATGTTTATTTTATTCCTTTACAAAAAGCTACCTAAATAACCACGGTGCATGGCCAGTATAAAACATTACCATGATATATAACATTCTATCATCACTGAAACATCACTAAACCATGGTACTGTCAGAGTACCTTTTTGCAAATGTTTGTGCCTCTCTTTGAGAACAGGCACATCATTCATCTAATTGAATAAAGAAATAAAATTGTATCAACTCACCCGTTTGATTTTGAGAACAATACCAATTTTATCCTCTTAGATCTGAGGCTTCATGGATGAGATTCCTCATCCCAAACTCACAGCTCACACAATACCCTGAGAGTGAACGGTCAGTGAGTATGGATGAAGAGATGCTAACTAGTCAAGCTGTCCAGTCTGTACTTATTTTAAGACAAATGTATTCCAATACCTTTGATATCCAAATTCTCACTTCACCCAGAGAGATGAGAGATTTTTCATGGGTAAAAATTGTGACCATGTTAACTATGTGTGTAGTCCGGTTCTCTTGGTTCTTTTGGTCCGGACCATTAAAAAAAAGATTATACGTTTAGTCCTGGTTCACTTGCTCTTCACACTGCCATTTTTAACACTGAGCATTAAAGTAACACTATGTAGTTTTTCAACCTTCATAATATATTTCCAAGACACTTGTGACGGTACATTGACTTACAATAGGTTAAACGATACGTCTGCCATAGCCTGATGTGGTCTGTATGGCTTTTACTTGCAATATGTAACTTCAGGTTTCGGGTAGTAACCGAAGCAAAAAAAGAACTACAAAATCCGACTGCTTTACGGCATACGTCACTTCACCCACCACTTCCTCAAATTGTCCATTGTTCATAGATACAGTATATACAGTAGATGTCGCCTTGGCTACGGCAGTTCAATGGAAGGAATGCGTCAATACACTGATTTCACGCAGCCGCCATTTTGAAATCGCTCCAGTGGGAAAAAAACCGGAAGTGTCGCTTTTAATCATAGGAGAGTCGCAAATTTGATGGCGTATTGTTGTTTTAATGTAGAAATTAGTTATTCTAAAAATGTACATACATTTCTTTCATACTTTAGATTATATCCAGTGAAATTCATTTATAAATAAAGTAATTTTATATATATATATATATATATATATATATTTCAGAACGTAAAAAAAGAAGCAGGAACAAACTATATACATATCCTATATTGGATATTACCATCCAATAGTGTAAATTGCGGCAGCAGCTTCAGGTTGGTAGTCCAAGGCATTGTTTTCTATCTGTACTTCCGAGGTTTTTCCCACCGGAGCCTTGCTTTCGATTTGAAAATGGTGGCTGCGTGAAATCAGCGTATAGAGCCACCATCATGGTACAGTGGAGCCCCTCCTCTTTAATGCATAAGCGTAAATTTAGGCAAAGGTCTAACGGAAATAAAATCTCCATAAATTGTCATGAATGCGATTTTCTAGTTGTTTTGGTTCGTTCCAATGGTCAGACATGTATTTATACGGAAGAGGATTAGGGCCAAGCAATAACAAAAAAATAAAACCATCTCGAGATCAAAGCCATTATAAAGGAAGATTTAACTCGTTAAATTTCGAGAAAAAAAATGTCGAAATACAATCTTGAGAATAAACTCATTAAATATCGAGAATAAAGTCGTGTTTTGAGAAAAAAATTAAGTTTCGAGAAAAAAATTGTTAAATTTCGAGAAATTTTTTTAAATGCAATCTTGAGAAAAAACTAATTAAATACCGTGAATAAAGTCAATGTGTTTCAAGAAAAAACTCGTCAAATTTCGAGAAAAAAATTGAAACTCAATCTTGAGAATAAACTTATTAAATATTGAAAATAAATTTTGAGAAAAAAAGTCAAAATTCAATCTTAAGAATAAACTCATAAAATTTAATCGAGAATAAAGTCACTGTGTTTCGAGAAAAAACTCATTAAATTTCCAGGATAAAGTTGTGTTTCGAGAAAAAAACCGTAATGAAATGTGGCAGCAATGGAAAGGTTTTTAAAAAGTAACCATCGAGACAGTTTCTCGAAACATGACTTTATTCTTGATATTTAATGAGTTTATTCTCAACATTGTATTTCAACTTTTTTCTCGAAATTTAACTAGTTTTTTCTCGAAACACAACGACTTTATTCTCGATATTTTAAATGAGTTTATTCTTAAGATTGTATTTTGACTTTTTTCTTGAAATTTAACGAGTTTAATCTTGCATTATAATGAATTAATATAATTGCATTATTATAGCTTGGCCCTAATCCTCTTCCATATATTTGTCCTTGAGTCCAGAGACAATTTTTTTTTTTTCTAGGAAACATTCCTGAACTAGGAAACATTCTTCCTAGTTCAGATTTCGTTCTGGTGAACATCCATGGCGAAACTTCATTACAAACACATTAAAAACTTGATTTTCACCACAGGCCAGGGACTGATACAATGTTTGTGCTGTTACCTCATTTGCATGAATTGTTTTTGTTAATCAGGTGCTCAAACTACGCAACAGCGTGTGCACTTAAACAACACTATTAGCACAATTCATTTTTAGTGGTAAGAATCATCCTTTTAATAACTGTTTCAGTGTCTAAATATCATGCAAAATAGCAGTTATTTTATGCAGATGAGAGTTTGATGTACGTTTTTTAAAAATAACATGTAATGCAGAGTTTTCCACCGAAGGGTTTGTAAACAACAAGAGGTTTTATTTGAATAAAACTGGCATGTACTTATAAAGAGTATGAAATTTGAATTGTTTGCAAACAAGAACAGAAGCATTATATTTATTGATGCAGTTTGTGGCTTAAAATCATAGGCATTACTTTAAGTAAATAATTGAGGTCATGGGGGTTCAGGTAACTAAAAAGTTACTTAACCAACAGAAAAAAAAAAAATTGCAGTAGATGTTATCACAGTGTCAAGCCCTCAGGTAAACAGCGTGTAATGTTTCTCATTCTGGTCAGTTATGAAACCAGCCGTTATGAAACATCCAAGCTGGAGTTGATGGTGTGCGAAATGGCAGTTATATCATATCAAGTCATAGTATATTGTTTCTGGTACCATCCTTGTAATGACATTTCATGATGGGAAATAAATAAGATATGCCCATAACCAAATCGTTTATGAGCTATATTGACAATTAACAAGTAAGTGAAAAACGACTTAGTTTTAAAGATTACTTTTCAGAAATATTAGGTTTTGAGTAGTGCTGTCAAACGATTAATCGCGATTAATCGCATCCAAAATAAACGTTTGTGTTTACATAATATAAGTGGCTGCACTGTGTATAATTATTTTGTATATACACACACATGCATGTATATTTAAGAAAAAAAAAATGATTTATATATAAAATATTTATATAAATCTAGATACATGAAAATATATACAAGCATGTGTGTGTGTATTTATATATATAAAATAATTATACGCAGTGCACCCACATATATTATGTAAACACAAACTTTTACTTTGGATAAAAGTTTGACAGCCCTAGTTTTGAGAAATACGTTGTCCTTTAAACTAAATATAAACATATGTGAATTTCATGCATTTTTAATCCAAAGTACTTTATATTGGTTGACTCCTGAACTATTTAAGCTAATGTATTTGTTTACTGTTTATTTTTTAGGGACAGTATGGACGCAGACAATGACAAACAACTTGAAAGGTAAGCTGAATTATTGTTTAAGATATATATCTCATAGGCCATCTAGAGTTTGATCCTTTACATGTAATCTGCAAGCAATCACTTCATTTGCTGCATGGCCATAGGTGGAGTGTGTGTAAGGGTGGGCAAAGCTTTGCTTTCCCCCTGGCCACAAACTTGAGACTAGCGTGGACTTTCCTCCCTCAAACCAATGCCTGCTGCTGCCTCGGACTGCTTTTAGAGGGAAATGCTGCTCATAACTTCTGGTCTACGATCAGTTTTCATCATAATAATAGCAGTGCAGCAGATAAAGTCTGCCAAGACAAAAAACATTAACATTGCAATCGCGTGAAAGCTAATTCAAGAGTTGTCATGATTGAATCATAATATACCTGCATATATATATATATATATCGCGATTAATTGCATCCAAAATAAACGTTTGTGTTTACATAATATATGTGGGTTCACTGTGTATAATTATTTTATATATATAAATACACACACATGCTTGTATATATTTAATAAATATTTTCATGTATATACTATATATAGATTTATATATAATTTATATTATATAAATATAAATATTTTATATAATAATATTTTTTTTCTTAAATATACATGCATGTGTGTGTATTTTTATATATAAAAAATAATTATACACAGTGAACCCACATATATTATATAAACACAAACTTTTATTTTGGATACGATTAATTGCGATTAATCGTTTGACAGCCCTAATATATATATATATATATATATATGGTTCATCTGTGAGTGGTGTTATATTTAGCTTACATGATTGATTCATTTCCCAGATTAAATATTTTTTCTCTCAACAGGGTCGATCTGCAGATTAAGAATGCAAGGTGCTGTAAATCAGAACATTTCTGTATTTTTTTTTTATTATTATCATTAAACCTGTTGTAGATCATATGCCATTTTTTTTTTCCAATTGTAACATTGGTTTGGACTCTTGGTTGTCAACAGGGAGGCTCACAGTCAGATAGAGAAGAGACGCAGAGACAAGATGAACAGCTTTATTGATGAGCTGGCTTCATTAGTGCCTACCTGCAATGCCATGTCCCGCAAACTGGATAAACTCACTGTGCTGCGCATGGCGGTCCAGCATATGAAAACACTTCGAGGTGAGGTTCACACTGTCATTCCCATTGAGCCATTATGGCCCGGCTGGGACTTTAAATGTAATCTGAATTCTAGACATGTGCATTCAAGTAGATTTGTAGCCAAGTACAGTAACATAAAAGTGATTTCAAAAGTTAAATATAAGTTAACAAGAAAGAGTATGACATTGACATTCAATTTATGTTTTATTCCCAAACATCATATCACCATTAATGGTTTCAAAACAAACCGAGTGAAAATAGCATTAAATGGGTATTATTATGCAACGTTGTTTTGCAATGTAAAATAACTTCATTATATGATGTGTTTTATTATATCTCACATAAATATTCACATAAATACTATAAAGGTTTCAAGGAAGAACGCAAAGTTTGTCTACCCAAATGTTTTGCAATTGAGCGCAAATTGATCGCTCATGCATATGCTTATTTTCTACTGTATTTTTAAGGTGCTGCAAACCCTTATACTGAAGCTAACTACAAGCCAGCCTTTTTATCAGACGATGAGCTGAAGCACTTAATATTAAGGGTAGGTGACCTAAAGAAATGTGTCTTTTTGTGTTATACTGAGTGATAATCCTTGGCTGTGATTCACTCTGGGTCTCAGGCTGCTGATGGCTTTCTATTCGTTGTGGGCTGTGATCGGGGAAAGATCCTTTTTGTGTCAGAGTCCGTCTACAAAATTCTAAATTACAGTCAGGTAAGGCCTACTAATGCTTCAAAACATCCATGAAATGACTCATAAGTCAGCGTGTGACTCATATTGCCTGCTGCTCTCTCCCCATCTTACAGAATGACCTGATTGGCCAGAGTTTGTTTGATTATTTGCATCCAAAAGACATCGCAAAAGTCAAAGAGCAGCTCTCGTCATCTGACACAGCACCACGGGAGAGACTCATTGATGCTAAAAGTAAGTAAATGCCTTAAATACAGCATTATGCAAGCAAACAGTAAACTCGAGGACTTTTTAAAATCAGAACACTAGCCAGCATACATTTTTTGGCATCATAGATATTGCTGACTTTGCAAATGGTTACACACACACACACACACACACTCAAGTTACTACACAGCACTGGTTTCTGATTATTTGGGTAGCTTCTGACTACCAAAGTTGAGTAGTGTATTCCAGCGTTTAAAGGACAAGTTCGGTATTTTACACTTAAAGCCCTGTTTTACTATCATTTCTGATTAAATAGAATGGTTAAAGGAGTAGTTCACTTTAAAAAAAAAAAAAAACTTGTGCTGATAATTTACTCACCCCCATGTCATCCAAGATGTCCACATCTTTCTTTCTTCAGTCGAAAAGAAATTAAGGTTTTTGATGAAAACATTCCAGGATTTTTCTCCATATAATGGACTTGGGAACCAAACGGTTCAAGGTCCAAATGAGAGTTTCAGTGCAGCTTTAAAGAGCTTTAAATGACAACAGACGATGAATAAGGGTCTTATCTAGGAAAAAAGATTTGTTCATTTTAAATTAACGAGTTCAAACAGGGAAGTCACGAACGCTCATCACAGAACAGAGCAGGCGAGCATTTGTGCTTATAAAACTTAAACTTTTTTATTTATTTTTCAAATGAGCGATCGTTTCGCTAGATAAGACCCTTATTCATCGTCTGGTGTCGTTTAAAGCCCTTTGAAGCTGCACTGAAACTCTCGTTTGGACCTTGAACCATTTGGTTCCCATTGAAGTCCATTATATGGAGAAAAATCCTGGAATGTTTTCATCAAAAACCTAAATTTCTTTTCGACTGAAGAAAGAAAGACATGGACAGCTTGGATGACATGGGGGTGAGTAAATTATCAGCAAAAGTTTTTTTTAAAAGTGAACTACTCCTTTAAAGGGATAGTTCACCAAAAAAATGAAAATTCTGTCAGTATTTACTCACCCTCATCTTGTTCCAACCCCGGGACACAAATTAAGATATTTTTGATGAAATCTGAGAGCTGTCTCACAGAGCTGGCTTCTTGAGGGATTGAAACTTGCCGGCCTCAAAGTTATTAAAGACATCGTTAAAATAGTTCAAGTGACTACAGGGGCTCAATCTTATCTTTATCAAACGACGAGAACACTTTTTGTGCGAAAAAACAAACAAACAAAAATAACGACTTTATTTCAACCATTCATTTCCTTCTCCTTGGGTGATCTGTTGTTTTACGTCACACGCATCACGCACATGACCAGCGTCGGCGAATAGTGAGCCTACGTGTGACGTTAAACTGACTCGAGGCCCAAAGAGAAGGAAATTAATGGTTGAAATGAAGTCGTTATTTACGTTTGTTTTTTGCGTACAAAAAGTGTTCTCGTCACTTGATAAAGTTAAGATTGAGCCACTGTTTGTCACTTGGACTATTTTAACGATGTCTTTAATAACTTTTCGAGGCCGGTAAGTTTCAATCCCTCAACAAACCTATGGACTAGAATGGAGTGACAAAGCTCTCAGATTCCATCTTAAATATCTTAATTTGTGTTGTGAAGATGAACGAAGGTCTTACGGGGTTGGAACAACATGAGAGTGAGTAAATACTGACAGAATTTTTCATTTTTGGGTGAACTAACCCTTTAAGATTGAAATTTGGAAAAATTCTATCTTAACCGTTCTATTTCATCAGAAATGATCTTAAAACAGGGCTTTAAGTGTAAAATACCGAACTTGTCCTTTAACTACATACATTTCACCAGTTTTACCAGTTTTTAAAATGATCTTCTCAGCCGGGCTGCGAGTCAGGACAGACATTGCCCCTAGCCCCTCCAGATTGTGCTCAGGGTCCAGACGCTCCTTCTTCTGCAGAATGAAGTGCAACAGGTCCCACGTGAAAATGGAGGAAAAAGATTTCCCCTCGACTTGCTCCAAAAAGAATGGTGAATCAGTGCTTTCATTTACTATTGTTGAATATTGTTAAATATCCAAAGACAACGATTCCTCATCATAACTTTTGCTTTTGTTCTCCATGTAGCCGATCGCAAGAGCTTCTGCACCATCCACAGCACTGGCTATCTCAAGAGCTGGCCGCCCATAAAGATGGGGATAGATGAAGACAATGAGCCTGATAATGAAGGCTGTAATCTCAGCTGCTTAGTAGCCATTGGCCGATTACATCCTCATATTGTCCCCCAACCTATGAATGGAGACATCCGGGTGAAGCCGACAGAGTATGTCTCGCGCCATGCCATTGATGGGAAGTTTGTTTTTGTGGACCAAAGGCAAGTACTGGGTGTCCGAACATGAAATATGGTTGCAGTGTAAAGGTTCAAAAAATCGAAAATTCGCAAGCAAAATCCAAATTTGTGCAATGAAGAATTTTGCCTGATGGAAAAATTCAGGCAAAATTTCCAGGCAAAATTCAGGCAAAAAATTCAGGCAAAATTCCAGTGGCGAAAAAATTGCCATATGCGAATGTCGCATCAGTAAAAAGTAGTGCTGTCAAACGATTAAAATATTTAATCGCGATTAATCGCATTAATGTCATAGTTAACTCGCGATTCATCGCACATTTTTATCTATTCTAAATGTCTTTTGATTTCTTTTTGTTACATTATTTTAATGCTCTTATCAACATGGAAAAGTGGATCGGCTTGTTTAGAGCAAATGTTTTTTTTTAAATTATTATTATTGAATATAGCATTGGAATAGTGTTCAATTTCACACTAACATATATAAATAATCTCTCACACAATGTAACACTGTCTATCAATAAAAGGGTGAAAGAAATACTGACGAGGTCCTGATTTTGACGAGGGGGCGGAGAATTCGCATCATCTGTGTGTGTGTGTGTGTTTGCTTGGCCATCATCATGTTTCAGATTGGGCGTGCTGCGATGATGATCGCTCAGTTCACAACGACAATACACACAGATCACTTTGGTCTTGTCAATGGGACAATTTGGCAACTTTTTAAAAGTAAACTTTCCTTATTGGCATCCATTTCGGCGTCTCGCGCTCGTCATCCACTCAAAACGTAACGTTACTATTTGGCCGGCTCGCAAGCCGAAACGAGTGTGTGCGGCACGAAACGTCCTCACGTTGCGATCTGAAACCCATTTATTTCAATGGCTTGCGCCACGCAAGGACGTTTTGTTGTTTCTTCGACCAAAGTGCAAGCGGATCTAGCTAGAGCGGAAACAAAACAACAGGCACGCCGCAAACACACGTTTTGAGTGGATGACGAGCGCGAGACGCCGAAATAAATCAGGACGCATGCCGCGTCCTGTTGCAAAAGCATGTGAAAAAACTACAAAGTTTGCTGGGAAAAAAAACGTTAATCGCGCGATAAAAAAATAACACGTTAAAATGGGTTTGTGTTAACGCCGTTAATAACGCGTTAAACTGACAGCCCTAGTAAAAAAGTTGGGTGAACTTTTGCAGTGCCAACCAATATAGAAAGCCTCTTGGTATGGCAGTGAAGGTAGAAACTACGGCACTACCATAGGCGTAATTTGCGGGTGGGACGGGTGAGACATGTCCCCATCACTTTTTGCCAGGGTCGATATTGTCCCCACCATAGACCAAACTTGGGTCTCCAGTCAACAAAGTTTAAATCCCGACTGGCTAGCGCACTTCCCATAATGTATTAAGTCAGTAGACGGAGAGAAGACGGTCTTTTGTGGCTGTTTGAACACATTTGATCACGTGAGCATTTACACTACGAAAACAAAAACTCCTAATGTGTTTTTCACTACCCCTGGAAGTGGTTAAAAGTGAACAAGCTGAAAAAGCCTGTTTACACCTGTATTTAACATCATCCACTTGCGATCCGATCAACCAAAAACGCACCAGGGCCTATGTTTAAGCAAACTATGAGGTAAAATGGATTATTGGTTGGGAGATGTTTGTTTTGTCTACTGATGGATAAACTGATTTGTGACCGTATGACCAATCCTGATGTTAGCGTGACAGTTTTGTTTTTTGTTTTTTTGAGCACAATGCGGATCAATATCCAAATATAGAAATGGATAAATGACCCAGGTCATGACCTGGCTAGAGGACGAAATGTAGGACACACACTGCATCTAAAAATACTGCCCAATGCCTCTGTGACAACAGAACAGTTTTCCTTTTGTCAACTGTATGTCAACTGCACTCGTGGAGTCTAAAGGCGCAGGCATACTTAATTTTCTGCAAACGTTGATTGCTTTTAAACTTTTGCTGATAATTTACTCACCCCCATGTCACCCAAGATGTCCACGTCTTTCTTTCTTTAGTCGAAAAGAAATTAAGGTTTTTGATGAAAACATTCCAGAATTTTCCTCCTTATAATGGACTTCAATGGGAACCAAACGGTTCAAGGTCCAAATGAGAGTTTCAGTGCAGCTTCAAATGGCTTTAAACGACACCAGTTGATGAATAAGGGTCTTATCTAGCGAAACGATCGGTCATTTAAAAAATAAATAAAAAAAGTTTAAGTTTTACAAGCACAAATGTGTTTGTGACTCTCCTGTTCATTAAAAAGAAACAAATCTTTATTCGAGTCACTAATATTTTTGAAATCGCTGATCGTTTCGCTAGATAAGACCCTAATTCATCGTCTGGTGTCGTTTAAAGTCCTTTGAAGCTGCACTGAAACTCTCATTTGGACCTTGAACCGTTTGGTTCCCATTGAAGTCCATTATATGGAGAAAAATCCTGTAATATTTTCATCAAAAACCTTAATTTCTTTTCGACTGAAGAAAGAAAGACATGGACATCTTGGATGACATGGGGGTGAGTAAATTATCAGCACAAGTTTTTTTTTTTTTAAAGTGAACTACACCTTTAAGAAAGTGCAGAATATTGTGGCGTAGAAACATGTTTGCATGATATTATTAGTACAATAGTGGCTTGCAAGAACTGTAAAAACACTCGTGCTCCTCTGTGTGTAAAAGATTTCCCTTTTCATTTCAGGGCCACGGCCATTCTTGCTTATCTACCTCAAGAGATGCTGGGCACGTCTTTCTATGAGTATTTCCATCAGGATGACATCGGACATCTTGCTGAATGCCATAGACAGGGTAACAATAGAGCGCTTTCCTGAGAGCAGTGTGACCAGACTCGTGTCATGATTTCTGATCTGTACGTCTCTGTTTGCAGTTCTGCAGATGAGAGAGAAGATCAACACTAACTGTTACAATTTCAAGATTAAAGATGGATCTTTTATAACTTTAAGAAGTCGATGGTTCAGTTTCATGAACCCTTGGACCAAAGAAGTAGAGTACATAGTCTCAACTAATACAGTTGTCTCGTAAGTAAACTAAATCTCCATGATATCAGTGTTCTCATGGTTTGATTTACTGACCTGAATGGGTGTGTGTTTTGAAGGGGAAGTTCACTTGAAGGAGCAGAGCCTCACTATCCTCAGCTCACTGCTTCCCCTCAGAGTATGGACAGTGTCCTTACAGCCGGTGACGGTAAGCGGATCTCATTTACGCAGAAAATAAATGACTATTAAAGGAGTAGTTCACTTTAAAAAAAAACTTTTGCTGATAATTTACTCACCCCCATGTCTTCCAAGATATCCATGTCTTTCTTTTTTCAGTCAAGAAAAGAAATTAAGGTTTTTGATGAAAACATTCCAGCATTTTTCTCCATATAATGGACTTCACTGGGAACCAAACGGTTCAAGGTCCAAAAGACAGTTTCAGTACAAACTGCAAACTGTTCAAAGGGCTTTAAACGATTCCAGACGATGAATTCGTTCATTTCGTTCGTTGAATGAACCACATTACATTAAAAAAGATTTGTTCATTTCGTTCGTTGAATGAACCAAATGACACGAAGCTCATTTGAGCTTATAAAACTTCAACTTTGTTGTTGTTATTTCTTAAGTGAGCGATTGTTTCGCTTGATAAGACCCTTATTCATCGTCTGGAATCGTTTAAAGCCCTTTGAACTGTTTGCAGTTTGGACTGAAACTGTCATTTGGACCTTGAACAGTTTGGTTCCCATTGAAGCCCATTATATGGAGAAAAATCCTGGATTGTTTTCATCAAAAACCTTAATTTCTTTTCGGCTGAAGAAAGAAAGACATGGACATCTTGGATGACATGGGGGTGAGTAAATTATCAGCAAAAGTTTTTTCAAAAGTGAACTACTCCTTTAATGTACTCTAATTGAACTAATAAACTTAATCCGATAAACAGTTGTCTGTCATACATAAATGAAATAGGTAAAAAAAAAAAGCCTAGTTTATTAAGTATTATCATCGGTTTTATTTAAATAATCATATTTTCAAAATGCATTGCCTAGAATCAGAGAAACAATTTTATTTAATCAGTAAAATGATAAAATAAATCAAATCAAATCTTTGGAACAAGCAATATTCAATTAGTTAATATAAATGCATTTTTGCACTCAGGTCTAAGTCTCATGGCCCTCTATCAGAATCTAGAGTTTCAAGAAGATCAGAGAAACTCAAAATTTCATTTTTTTTTTCGGTGCAAAAAATAAGTTTCTACAATCTTCTTGAAACTCTGGATTCTGATAGAGGGCCATGAGACTTAGACCTGAGTGCAAAAATTGAGGACTCTAGACCCTTCTACAGCTGAGATATCGAAACTCAAAATCGATCAATATTGATCGTGTCAATATTGGGATTCTGATAACACCTGGTTTGGCCTATACATCCTTTAACATTCCCAGTTATTTAAGCCTCTAAATGTGTGTGTTGTGTACCGTTATAACCGATCTTCAGGCAGTTTCATGGGATTTATGTAACACGTTGGCCCCCCCTTTTTTGTAGGGAAAGTGTTGGATATTTATAATGGCATGAATGCTAAGTGGGATCTCCATATCTCAGCTCTGGAAGGGTCTAGAGCCTCCATTTTGGCACTCAGGTCTAAGTCCCATGGCCCTCTATCAGAATCCAGAGTTTTGAGAAGATTGGAGAAACTTATTTTTTCGCACAGGAAAAAAAAAAAAACGACAGTGGTACCCCTTTCGTTTTTTTTTTTCGGGCGAAAAATTAAGTTTCTCCAATCTTCTCAAAACTCTGGATTCTGATAGAGGGCCATGAGACTTTGACCTGAGTGCAAAAATGGAGGCTCTAGACCCTTCCAGAGCTGAGATATCGAAATTCAAAATTTCGACCCGAAAAAAAAAACGACAGTGTTACCCCTTTCGTTTTTTTTTTTTCGGGCGAAAAATTAAGGTTCTCCAATCTTCTCAAAACTCTGGATTATGATAGAGGGCCACGAGACTTTGACCTGAGTGCAAAAATGGAGGCTCTAGACCCTTCCAGAGCTGAGATATCGAAATTCAAAATTTCGACCCGAAAAAAAAACGACAGTGTTACCCCTTTCGTTTTTTTTCGTTTTTGGGCGAAAAATTAAGTTTCTCCAATCTTCTCAAAACTCTGGATTATGATAGAGGGCCACGAGACTTTGACCTGAGTGCAAAAATGGAGGCTCTAGACCCTTCCAGAGCTGAGATATCGAAATTCAAAATTTCGACCCGAAAAAAAAACGACAGTGTTACCCCTTTCGTTTTTTTTCATTTTCGGGCGAAAAATTAAGTTTCTCCAATCTTCTCAAAACTCTGGATTATGATAGAGGGCCATGAGACTTTGACCTGAGTGCAAAAATGGAGGCTCTAGACCCTTCCAGAGCTGAGATATCGAAATTCAAAATTTCGACCCGAAAAAAAAACGACAGTGTTACCCCTTTCGTTTTTTTTTCATTTTGGGCGAAAAATTAAGTTTCTCCAATCTTCTCAAAACTCTGGATTATGATAGAGGGCCACGAGACTTTGACCTGAGTGCAAAAATGGAGGCTCTAGACCCTTCCAGAGCTGAGATATCAAAATTCAAAATTTCGACCCGAAAAAAAAACGACAGTGTTACCCCTTTCGTTTTTTTTCGTTTTCGGGCGAAAAATTAAGTTTCTCCAATCTTCTCAAAACTCTGGATTATGATAGAGGGCCACGAGACTTTGACCTGAGTGCAAAAATGGAGGCTCTAGACCCTTCCAGAGCTGAGATATCGAAATTCAAAATTTCGACCCGAAAAAAAAACGACAGTGTTACCCCTTTCGTTTTTTTTCATTTTCGGGCGAAAAATTAAGTTTCTCCAATCTTCTCAAAACTCTGGATTATGATAGAGGGCCACGAGACTTTGACCTGAGTGCAAAAATGGAGGCTCTAGACCCTTCCAGAGCTGAGATATCGAAATTCAAAATTTCGACCCGAAAAAAAAAACGACAGTGTTACCCCTTTCGTTTTTTTTCATTTTTGGGCGAAAAATTAAGTTTCTCCAATCTTCTCAAAACTCTGGATTATGATAGAGGGCCACGAGACTTTGACCTGAGTGCAAAAATGGAGGCTCTAGACCCTTCCAGAGCTGAGATATCAAAATTCAAAATTTCGACCCGAAAAAAAAACGACAGTGTTACCCCTTTCGTTTTTTTTCATTTTCGGGCGAAAAATTAAGTTTCTCCAATCTTCTCAAAACTCTGGATTATGATAGAGGGCCACGAGACTTTGACCTGAGTGCAAAAATGGAGGCTCTAGACCCTTCCAGAGCTGAGATATCGAAATTCAAAATTTCGACCCGAAAAAAAAACGACAGTGTTACCCCTTTCGTTTTTTTTCATTTTTGGGCGAAAAATTAAGTTTCTCCAATCTTCTCAAAACTCTGGATTATGATAGAGGGCCACGAGACTTTGACCTGAGTGCAAAAATGGAGGCTCTAGACCCTTCCAGAGCTGAGATATCGAAATTCAAAATTTCGACCCGAAAAAAAAAACGACAGTGTTACCCCTTTCGTTTTTTTTCATTTTTGGGCGAAAAATTAAGTTTCTCCAATCTTCTCAAAACTCTGGATTATGATAGAGGGCCACGAGACTTTGACCTGAGTGCAAAAATGGAGGCTCTAGACCCTTCCAGAGCTGAGATATCGAAATTCAAAATTTCGACCCGAAAAAAAAACGACAGTGTTACCCCTTTCGTTTTTTTTCATTTTTGGGCGAAAAATTAAGTTTCTCCAATCTTCTCAAAACTCTGGATTATGATAGAGGGCTGTGAGACTTTGACCTGAGTGCAAAAATGGAGGCTCTAGACCCTTCCAGAGCTGAGATATCGAAATTCAAAATTTCGACCCGAAAAAAAAACGACAGTGTTACCCCTTTCGTTTTTTTTCATTTTTGGGCGAAAAATTAAGTTTCTCCAATCTTCTCAAAACTCTGGATTATGATAGAGGGCTGTGAGACTTTGACCTGAGTGCAAAAATGGAGGCTCTAGACCCTTCCAGAGCTGAGATATCGAAATTCAAAATTTCGACCCGAAAAAAAAACGACAGTGTTACCCCTTTCGTTTTTTTTCATTTTCGGGCGAAAAATTAAGTTTCTCCAATCTTCTCAAAACTCTGGATTATGATAGAGGGCTGTGAGACTTTGACCTGAGTGCAAAAATGGAGGCTCTAGACCCTTCCAGAGCTGAGATATCGAAATTCAAAATTTCGACCCGAAAAAAAAACGACAGTGTTACCCCTTTCGTTTTTTTTCATTTTCGGGCGAAAAATTAAGTTTCTCCAATCTTCTCAAAACTCTGGATTATGATAGAGGGCTGTGAGACTTTGACCTGAGTGCAAAAATGGAGGCTCTAGACCCTTCCAGAGCTGAGATATCGAAATTCAAAATTTCGACCCGAAAAAAAAACGACAGTGTTACCCCTTTCGTTTTTTTTCATTTTTGGGCGAAAAATTAAGTTTCTCCAATCTTCTCAAAACTCTGGATTATGATAGAGGGCTGTGAGACTTTGACCTGAGTGCAAAAATGGAGGCTCTAGACCCTTCCAGAGCTGAGATATCGAAATTCAAAATTTCGACCCGAAAAAAAAACGACAGTGTTACCCCTTTCGTTTTTTTTCATTTTGGGCGAAAAATTAAGTTTCTCCAATCTTCTCAAAACTCTGGATTATGATAGAGGGCTGTGAGACTTTGACCTGAGTGCAAAAATGGAGGCTCTAGACCCTTCCAGAGCTGAGATATCGAAATTCAAAATTTCGACCCGAAAAAAAAACGACAGTGTTACCCCTTTCGTTTTTTTTCATTTTTGGGCGAAAAATTAAGTTTCTCCAATCTTCTCAAAACTCTGGATTATGATAGAGGGCTGTGAGACTTTGACCTGAGTGCAAAAATGGAGGCTCTAGACCCTTCCAGAGCTGAGATATCGAAATTCAAAATTTCGACCCGAAAAAAAAACGACAGTGTTACCCCTTTCGTTTTTTTTCATTTTCGGGCGAAAAATTAAGTTTCTCCAATCTTCTCAAAACTCTGGATTATGATAGAGGGCTGTGAGACTTTGACCTGAGTGCAAAAATGGAGGCTCTAGACCCTTCCAGAGCTGAGATATCGAAATTCAAAATTTCGACCCGAAAAAAAAACGACAGTGTTACCCCTTTCGTTTTTTTTCATTTT